TAAAGGGATACAGACCCTGAAAAGGTGGATAGAGGCTGCAGCCATGTGTGTGAATACACCAAAAAGTCCTGCAATATGTCAAAATAATGAATCTGCACCAGGAGATTGCCTTTCTTTAAACCTGATGCCACACCATATACACCACATTATTAAAAGGTACTGAATCTGAGCGCCTCATTCAGAATATGACACGGAAAAGGCAGCATCTTGGGCTGATCTAACTGTGGCTGAGCATGGTTAACCCCAGCAAGCTTTAACATCAAGTTCAACCACCATGCTGACGTTTAAACTGTTACATTTATAAGAACTATCTAAGCACATAATTTAAAAAGTACATTTTAACCACTTTATCATTCAGGTAGTTAAAAGTACAGGAGGTCAAAAAAGAGGGAAACCTATTGCATTATTTAAATGCTGTTAAAGTAGTTAACTCGGCTTGTAGATAAAACCAAACTTAATCAAAGGCACTTTGAAAAAGTATTTGCTAGTGCTGAAAAAGCTGAAAGAATTCCAGAATCCAGTAACATCACACCTAGATACATAATCAAAAGTTCGCAAAGCAAGGATTCAATCAGACACTGAATGCCAAAGTACACTACTGCAGCGTCATTCGAAAAAGTGCAGAGATGGAAGCAACCCAAATGCCCATCAACAGAAAACAGATAAATAAAATGTGGCATTTACAGACAAAGAAGTATTATTCAGTCAGAAAGAAAAAATTCTGACACATGCTAAGAAGACGTGGCTGAACCTTCAAAATTTTGTTGTGTAAGTCAGACAGAAAAGGGTAAATATTTTATGACCTAACTAATATGATCTGCCAAACAGAACAAATAAATCTGTCTTGGAAAAACTGCAGCCAGAGTGCTCCTCAGAGGCAAGGATTTTGTCGCCAGTACATTAAGTATGTTGCCAGGAGGAGGGGCCAGTCCTTGGACAAGAACATCATGCTTGGAACAGCAGAGGGTCAGTGAAAGACAGGAAGAAACTTCACCAGATAGACTGGCAGCCCACTATTAAGACTGGGCTTATGACTGTGAAATTGGCCACGGGAGTTTGTTTTCTTGTACAGAGGCCTGTTATCAGTCTGAGGTGACTCAACAGCACATAACAACAACTAACATGACATAACTAATAATGAATTTTCTTAATTGAGTAAGAATATGCAGGGTGTAGGGGTATAGTGTGTATGAGTGATAATCAGGCAAGGTGGTTGATGAAAACTCTGGATGTGGAGAAATGTGACAGGCATAACACAGTAAGCATACGGAGTGTCTATTCTCACATAAAAAATGGATGAAATGGCACATGTTTTATTATATATATTACCATAATTTTGAAAAGATAATTGCTAGCATCTGCTAAACATAAATAGAAGAATAAGATTTGTATGCTACTCTAAAATAACTATTTTTAAATCTATCTTTCCTTTGCCCACATTTTACTTTAAAGCTTACAAAAGCATTTTTAAAAGTTCACCACTCACTGTTAATTGTTTCAAAGTCCCAAAAGACCTCTACATGGCCATATCCAATAAACATTTTAATGTTGCTTATCCTTCTACAAGTTTAACACCATTTGACATTTCTGGCTTCTCACCCACTTTTCTTTCTCTTGGTTATTCTTCTTTTCTATTTGACCAGTTCTTCCCCCTCTAACTGTGCAAAGGACTAACGGAGCACAAGAACCTCAGTTTCCATATCCCTGAAACCAGATCTACATGGTACCCAGCTACCAAGGCTGGCTGCTCTCTAACCAGGATCATAGTACAAGATCCTGTGTGAAGTGGGCGGAACTGTCGAACAAACCTCAAAACATATTAAAGGCAAAGCTTACTACTCCCACGGAGACCTTAGTCATCTTTTGAACCCGGGACAAATCTCAAAATTGAGGCTCAACTTTCAGCAAATAGACAGGCCTATTCATGGGTTTCTCTGGCTATGCAAAGGCACATTTGACTGTGTGGATCACAACAAATTGTGGTTAGCCTTGAAGAGAATGGGTATCCCAGAACACTTAATTGTGCTTATGAGAAACCTAGACTTGAAGTAGGAAGCAGTCCTCAGAACAAAGCAGGGTAACACACACGGTTCAAAATGACGAAAAAAGTGTATCAGGGATGTATCCTGTCTCCATACCTTTTCAATCTCTATGCAGGACAGATCACTCGGGAAGCAGGGCTTTATGAGAAGGAATGTGGCATCAAGACTGGAGGAGGACTCATCAACAATGTATGTCATGCAGATGACACAACCTTGCTTGCTGAAACTGAGGAGGACCTGAAGCACTTGCTGCAGAAGGTCAAGGACTAAATAGACTTCAGTATGAACTGAAGCACCATGATGGATGGAGAAGAGATTGAGGTTGTTAACAGTTACAGCTTGCTCGGCTCCACAATCAACACTCTTAACACCAACAGTCAGGAAATCAAATGGTAAAATGCATTAGGTAAATCTGCTGTCAGGAGCCTTTTCAGAGTACTGAGAAGCAATGATGTCTAGAGACTGATCCAGTCCGTGGTCTTTGCAATTATACTTCACATCAGAGAGCTGGATAATAACTAAGGATGACAGAAAAATAATTGATGCCTTTGAATTATAGTGCTAGAGAAGAGTCTTGAACATACCAAGGACCACCAAGAAAACAAACAGGTCTGTCTTGGAGAGGGTGAAACCAAGTTTCTCCTTGTAGGCTAGGGTTTTGAAGCTTCGTCTCACATACTTCGGGCACATGGCCAGGAGAGACCAGTCCCTGGAGAAGGACATCATTCTTGGAAGGGTGGAAGGACAGACCCCGATGAGATAAACTGATACAGTAACTGTGGCAATGGGGGTTGGTGTGTTGGAATTAGTGAGAGTGGCTCAGGACAGGGCAGGATTCAGAGCTATTGTACATAGGGTACAATATGTACTATGAGTTGCAGGCAACTTGATAGCACATAACAATAAAACAACAACAACATAAGGTGATCAGTAACACTAGGTAGGCTCCAACTATATATATGGTCAATAGAGCAGCATTTGCCCAGGCAAAAAGCCCAGAAAATAGAAGAGGTTGGCTAGGATTAATGTAAATGAGAATTACAGGAAGGAAGTGGTAAAAGTTCAATTCTATTGTAGGTTTTATTATGAATGGTGGCTTAGTGCGCCCTTCTACCTCCCAGGTTTTGGGTAGTGTTAATAATCTAACTTTTGCAGGTGGCTTTCCTTGATCATAGTCTGTATTTGCTTAGAGCAACAGAGAGTCAGAAGAGAGAATGAAGAACTGGATGGTGCTAAGGCTACCATTATTGAATATTTTGATCCAAGATTCTGTAGAATTCTGATCAAAGGAGGAAAAAGCACAGAACAAAATGTCAAATAATCATGAATCCCAGACCTCCTACAACCATGAAGGTTGAAGGAATCCCTAAAACTACTGCCCTGAGATAATTTTTAAACAAAAATATCCTGTTTTCTCAAAATGAAATAACAGTTTAACTTCATTAGTAAAAAATGTCAGTCTTTAATAATGCTTTAAAAGCACTATGCTTTTTAAAATAATTACAGATCAGATGGAACAGGGAACTAAAAATCTTTGAGAAGAACTTTTGGAAGTAGTGAATTTATGTTCACGGAGGAGTAACTCAGGGGGAAAATCTTTTTAAAGCTCACTGCCACAGAATCAGTCCTGATTCGTTGAGACTTCTCGTTGTATTACTGAGTCCACAAATCTTAATGAGAGGAGATTGCCCATGTATCTCCCTCACAGTTGCCTGCTAGATGGCTCAAAGAGTATGATCAACGTCACTTAATGGTACACGTAGAAATTGCTAGATTGGCCTATGCTTTGCTTATATAGGAGCCCTGGGGACACCACGGTTAAGCACTGAGCTGCTATAATGTCATCAGTCCAAACAACCAGCTCCTCCACAGCATGAGGATGTGGCCGCCTGCTTTCTGATCATTTCCAGCCTTGGAAACAGCATGGGGTGGTCCTACTCTGTCCTTCAGGGTCACTAAGCCAGAACTGGCTCGGTGGTTAACAAGCCTGGTTTCATTGATTCGGTTTGGCTGTGCATAATCTCTCCAACAACTAAGATTTTTTTTCCAAAGGGGAAACTTACAGACATCAAGCAATACTACCATCTGCTCAACACCTTTCAAACTCCCCAATTCTTTACTGTAGCAACTCCTGGAGTCCTTGGTGGGGTG